ATATACTTTACAAATTGACCCAGTGAGCAACAGTGGCATGTAAATGTAGTTAAATAAGAACATTTAAAAAATGACAGTTATATATCTTATTTTTAGATTACCTCAATTCACAAATTTAAATAGTATTAACTCTCAAAATGAGATCCATATGACTTAAATTTATGTATTTGTTAATCTATTGGGTTGTCGGAAAAGTCATGACATATTTTTTCTATGTTTTTCATTGCAAAAATGCATCATGACTTTTCCGACAACCCAATAATTGGGTGAACTAGCTAAATATTCAGAGTAAGAAGAGCAATAGTCTATACTGTTTTTGTGTTTCAGCGTTTTTATTTAAGCCTTTGATAAGCATAAGAGGACAGATAAAAACCAAAATATTTTTTTAATAATAAATTATTAGGAGAGAGTATTTTATTATATTGGTGTATGTAGGTCTCCTTATACTTATTTAATTAAAGAAATTACATAAAATGTATTTAATCTTAATATGTGTAAAATACTACTATTAAGTATTTATGAAGACATAGAGAATACAAGACCTTCCCCCTAAAATATCTTATAACAAAATTTTATAAAATGATTGATGTATGTCATGACACCCTTTTTTGACTCCCTATCTTTTTCATTAAATCTAAGGCTATATTTAATTAATAAAAAATTAAACCATCCATTTGCAAATAAAATTATTTTCCACTGTGAATATGTATTCCTTAACTTCACATGATATATTTAACTTTAGTAAAAAAATTTAAAAACGTGATAGTGGTATTCATTTTAGCAAAAATGTACTGATCCCTAGCCCTATGGTGAGGAACTGGAAATAGAAGACAAGATGAGATCTCTGCCCTCATAGCATTCATTTGGAGGCACAGCTAAATCTAGACGTGCAGTAGTAGGTCATTACAAATGCATAGGAATGATAACGGTACCTCCAAGCAGAGGGAACAATAAAAGCAAATACACAGAGACATGACAAAGCATGGAATGTTGTGAGGGCTATGTATCACTTGGCACATCTGAGCATATCCTTAACCTTCTTCAAATTTATCAACCAATCTCCAGTGCGATCAAGATGAAGTTCAAATCAATAAGTATAGTACAAGAGTTCCTAAGCGATCTGGCCCTCGCCCACCTCTCTAGTCTTAACTCCTACCATTGCCCTATTTAGCTCCTTTTCTTGAGTCATACAAAGCTTGTAGTTTACTTGTTTATTGCTCTGTGAATTTACACATGCGTTTTCTTCTGTCTGTGATTCCTATGGTTCTTACACCTAAGTGCATCTTGTCTCTTAAAACTCTGTTCCTATAACTTCTCCTGAGAAATTTCTCTGACCTCCTATGTTTTAAATCTGAAATATGTGTTTCCTATGGATTGCAGAATGTATTTCCAAAGTAGTGAAATTGAATCTGTGAACACTGAACTGAAAATATAGCTTCTCTAGCACAATGGTGCTAGGAGGCAAAGCAAAAAACAAGGTAATTTCTCTATCTGAAGTCTCCTAGAGAAAACGATATAAACACTTATAACCTTCACCTTAGAAACAAGGTAGAAATGTAAAGTTACAACTGAATGTCTTGTAGCATATGTTGTCATAGGTAAGAGAACATTATACTGTAACTTGTACAATCGTCTAAATGCCAGGAACAGCCACCTCGTTACTAATGATACTATTGTCACATCAGAAAAAAAAATGACTTTTTATAGCTTTAAATTGTACCATTTGCAAAGTTTAAGCATCTTAATTCTATTTTCCCAGCTTCCTCTTTAATGATATTTTATTTGGTCAAGTGCTATGGATATGGTTTCATTCATAATATAAATAATTAACTTGAGCCCAAGAGATGAAACAATTTATGATTTCCTGCAAGATAGCTTCCATCATTACAAACTGACGATGTTTTATCCTCACACACATAAACACATACATCAGATGAGTAAAAATTCTCCAATTTATTTCCCAAATTTGTTTTCATGGGATGTGGGGAGAAGGGCAGGTAGATTTTGAATTCAGAAGCTGTGTCTTTTAGTTTATCAGTTGTTGTTAATTAACTTTATAGCCTTGATTCAGTCACTTAATTTTTTTTTCATATTCTAATCGTCTTCTGTAAAATAAAAGAGTTAAATTAGATGGGCCTACAATCTTTTAAAAATTGTAAGATTATCTGAGAAAAGACATCACTTTTATTGTTCTACTTCGACCATCATTATCAAATGAGAAAGAGAAAAGCTTTAGGATTTTCATTTTTATAAGTAGATATTTATCTACATTTTACTGGCTATATTATAAAAATAAAATTGTGTTATATAGATGCTCAGTTTAATGCATTTAACATGAGCTATGAAGTGTAAATATAAAATGTTCACATGAAATATTATCTAGTGACTATCCTGTTTTATTATGTGCTTAACTGATGCTGTTGAGTTAATACTGTTTATTACAGCGTTATTGATATCATTTTACTGTTAATACTATTGGTATTTGGTTTTAGGAAAGCTGACTCTGACTCTACTGACATCAGGGAGAAAAAAAGGAAATAGCACTTTAAAAGGCAATAACCCCCCAAAAGGTTGGTGGTTATTTAAACACATTGTAGGAAAGTGCCAGGATGTTGAAGATGAAAAACGCAAGACTTTGAAATATGATTTTCTCAAATAACTAGTATCTAAGTCCAAGGGGCACAAACACAATTAGCAGTCCTAGCATGTTGAATTATTATGGAAAGGAGAGGAAGCAAAGAAGTAAAGGGAGATGAAGGAGATGATTTTGTTGAACCACGGCTCTTCTCTGTCTTCTGCTTTGGGGTCTGAGGTCTTTTATGTTTTGTATTTTAAAGTTTTCTTCCCTGTTGCAAATACACATGCCTTATCTGAGTTAGAGGTCCTCATTGTAGAATTGTGAATGTTAACAGTGTATCCCTCTAATGGGAAAAAATAATCAAAGGGTGGGGGGGCGGGAATTAAGGAAATACACAAAGAGTGAGTTCAGTGTAAAAGATACTTTCACAAGAGGAAAGAGACTCGTATTCCTGTAACGATTTTTGTAAAGTATCCCAGACTAGGAAGCTGAGGCTTTAAAGAATATCAAAAGCAAGAAAGGCCTAACTTTTTAAAAGTGAGTTTTGAATTTGGAGTAAAGGTGTATTCTAGGTTAAAAAACAAAAAATGCTAATCAATGTGGGAATCTCTTGCCTCCAAGGTTATCAAGGAGAGCTTCAGGTCAGCTTGTAGAGAAATCTCTTGCGCTACTAACTTAAAAAGTAGGTGAGTCTTCATGTTATAGCTTCTGGGGCAGTAGTCTTCAAAACTGAGTGTGTGTAAGTAGAGCCTTGTATGTCTATGGCAAATATAGATTTGTATGTCCCATATCCAAAGATTCTCATTCAATGTCCAAACCACTACACTCCACTCTGGGGAAGAGAGAGAGGGGATACCATGCCTGTAGGGATTATCAGTAATAACTGATTAATATGTTTTTATATGTGTGTCTATATATGTATATATATAGACACACATACACGCACACACACACACACACACACACACACACACACACGGTCTTATGTAAGCCTTATGCTAACCTTATAAATTATTATTCCCATTTTAAAGGCTCACATGTTAAAAAATATTTTGAAAAGAAAAGAAATTAGAATTTGATTGACTGTCAATTTTTAATAATAAAACAATATAAAATCATAGGTATGAATTAATACAGATATTTTAACTGAACATTAAAATCTAAGATATTTTAAATTAAAATGTTACTTTAAAACAATATTGTGATAAACATGTGCATACATTTTTTTAAAGTCACTGCACATTTCCTGAAGTGCTTAATATTCTGTAGGTATCTAGTCTACGGAGCACATGCTTAGAAACAATTTGGATCTAGGCATGATAAGCTAAATAAAAACATATTTATGTCCCATGATCTGTAATGTATCTTAAACTACTCTCAAAAGTAGACTATTTTAGTATAATAATCTCAGAAAACTGTTTTTGGTGACTGTGTCTTTTAATTAAAGCACTTAATAAAAAGAGCTTTGAGCTATTTTAAGAAAATTCTAGCCCCCAAATAGAAATGATATCAAATGTGTTTTGAATATAAAGTCATGGTTTTGTTAAAATTAGGTTAAAGCATACATCTCAGGCAGTGGTGTTTTCTTCAAGATAGAATACTAACTTTGTAAATTGCCCGGTCTCAATATATTTTAGCCAGTGTTTCTTCTGTACAAACCTTGAACATCATGCTTCTTTGGCTTTTGTTGTGTAAAGAAATTTCAGCATTGAGAGATATAAAGAGTTGATCACATCAATTTAAATAATTTTGTTCTTATAATAATAGACTATCTTCTTATCCTTCAAAAAATTCCCCATCGATATAAGGCTTTCATTAAATCTAATTTCTAGCTTTTCATATTATAGCCTTTAAAGAAGATTTAAAACACATTGAATTTTGTTTGCAACTATTTTACACAGCAGTCATTTTATGACCCTGACCTTTGGTATACATTTACATTAAACCATTGATGTCAGCAACAGAATTAATAAAACAAAGCCTTTATTTTGTTCTCTGTGTTATTTTTAATCAATACTTCCTTTGTCGGTTTAATAGGAAGAGAGCCCCCAAGGACAGCTCATATTACCAGATATTTACAGAATGGTTTTGGTATTAGATGATGTTAAAAAAATAGTCAGAAGTCAAGGCAAGTTAATTTATTAGCTTCATTTGGAACTGTTTCTTTTGAATTCACGCTATTAATGTAACTAGGAACAATCTGTCCCTGAGGCAGTTCCTTTCCTTTTATTAAGATAATTTCATAGAAACATTATACTTTAGTGATTACTTTTATTTTCCTATCCTTTTATTCTGAATTATTTATTTTCTATAAAAATCCAAAATGCCCTCTCCTGTAAACCCAACAGCGGAATACCGAATGCAGTCTGTCATTCAATGCGATGTAGATTTTTACCATCTTGTTCTCTTCCGTTCTCCGCAGGCACTCCATCTGCACTGTGTACATTGAAGTGCTTCCTCCAAATAATCAAAGCCCTCCCCGCTTCCCACAGATGATGTATAATCTTGAAGTCAGTGAAGCCATGAGGGTTGGCGCTGTTTTATTAAATCTACAGGTACGTTCCTTACTCTGTGTGTGTGTGTGTGTGTTTAAAGTTCTATAGAGACAGCCTTGAAGACTAATGGGTGTGTATGTGGGGCGGGGGGGGGGGGGAGAACACTCACACGCCTGCTTACACTCTAGTGAATGAAAATTCCATCTGGAAAGGAAAGCAGAGGTAATATGGATGGAGGGTTTCCACGGCTAATCTATTCTATTGATTGCTACAATTGAAGTATTTATATTAGCTGGCAGGGATTAGCTGCAATCATGACAAGAGAGAATGAAGGGAGCAGAAACATGCACTTGAATATTTTGTACTTTGCATCCAAAGAGTCTGCAGCTGACTATTATTTTCTGTCTTGGATTCTTTTGCCCTGGCAGGATTTATTTGTGCTGCAGTGTCGTACAGAGAAAATAACTTTAGATTCACAGGCTGATGGTAGGCATTCTCACTCTGAAGCAGATAACTTCATTCTGTGGCCATGGGCAAATCTTGTAATTGCTGTGCCTTGGAGTATTCGTTTAGACGTAGGGGGTGGGTTTGGCTGATATTTTCATTTGCAGTTTCAGATTCATGGGCATATGAGTTACCTGCACGACAGCAGCTTGGTTTTCATTATTTATGTATTCCTGACTTAAAGCACATTTGGCCAGAGAAGGCTGTATCTTCAATTGAATCCACAGCTTCAAGTTGGACTACCTATGGTGTTGATAGCTGTCACTTGCTGTAAAAATCATAAGGACCATGCCATGACATATTATTTTACCAATGGATGTTCAGACAACAGAGAATTGATCTTCCTCTGGTGTTAGATAGGAACGACAGGAGTTTCTGGCATGAAAATTCAGGAAACTGGCTGTGAAGCTTAGGAGAGATTTAATAGAACAGTTTAGGAAAATCCCAGAATCAATCTTTACCGTCAAGTGAGGTAACATAAGGCATAGCGATATCTTGCTCAAATCCCATTTGAATATCCTCTCAAACCATGATGATGTAAAAGTGAAGATAGAATGTTTGCATTGGGTAGGATGTAAAAATAAAGCAACACAGTAATCTCATAGTCCAGATGTGGAAAGTGAACTCCGTAGAAAGTAAATGAGGCCTAAGATCAGTTGACTGAATCCTCATCATTTCCAAAACAAGGCACATTCTACTATATGCCACTTATTATCTGAGGCTACCAAAAATTTGGTTGGCATTACCAGATACGTCTCTGTGCCTCTGATCTAGTATCTATTTTGTCTTTTCTCCAAGTAATTGAGAGAGTTTGCTTGTTGTTCATTTACTATTAAAACATGTGGGGATATTTGTTCTGACTTTTAAAGGGCTCTTTCCAACGATCTTATTCTGTGGTTTTTATCCTCCAAAGTTGCAGTATATAATCTAGGTTGTATCATTTCCAATGAAAATTAGTTCTAAATCCTGAAAAATAAAATCGTAGGGTCATAGGTCAGCCCTTGCCAGAATCTGTACAGTGGAATAATACAGGATGTTACAATGAAAAGTTAGAAAGTAATAAGGAAAAAAAAAAGAATAAAACATGTGGAAAACAAAACTACATGAAAGTAGACATACTAGCTAGCAATAAAGAAATCTGGGGGATTTAATGGACAAAATGAAAGAAAAAACACTATAGTTTCTTTAGGAAGGAGAAATCAGGAAGTTAATCACTAAAATGATAAAATGTGGAAAATCAAATATTAAGACAAGTGCATTGAATGGAATAATAAAATTATTTTATTTACATATGAGGTCAGACAATTAAGTTCGTGAACTCATTCTAGAAAAAAATGCCACATGTTGCATTTCTGAATATTATTATGGTCACTTTCGAAGTATTTCCCTTGGGAAGCTATGAACCAATGCCAGCACCTAGTCCACCCTTCAAAGCAATTTTGAAACTTTTTCTGGAATGGCTATCAGAGCTGTCATCATATTATCCTTGATGTCCTAAATGTCATCAACATGTCTTCCTTTCAATATTTCCTTTATCTTTATCTTTGGGTAAAGAAAGATGTTGTTGGGGCCAGATCAGGTGAGTAGGGAGGGTGTTCTAATACAGTTATTTGTTTACTGGCTAAAAACTCCCTCACAGACAGTGCTGTGTGAGCTGGTGCATTGTTGTTGTGATGCAAGAGCCATGAATTGTTGGTGAAAAGTTCAGGTCGCCTAACTTTTTCATGTAGCCTTTTCAGCAATTCTAAATAGTAAGCTTGATTCACTGGTTTGTCTAGTTGGCACAAATTCATAATGAATAATCCCTCTGATATAAAAAAAATGTTAGCAACATCATTGCAACATGTTCACAAACTTAATTGTTGGACCTCATATATGGAGATTTATTTATTTAAACAAGGAGAAAAGAAAAACAAATGTTAGATTTGTTAGAATCAGACCAAGAAATGTTTAATGTTTTACATTTAGATATTGCTCAAGAACATGCCTTTATATAATTTAACTTTCTATGAGATAAGCTGTCATTTTACTTGTAAGATGATTCAGGTTTTTTCAATACATCACAGAGAGATATTGAGATCATATTATAGGAGAATAATTTTACCTGAGAGTTAAAAATGAAAAGGAGTTGGCCTTTTTCCTATTTCAAATTCCTCTGGTAGAAAGGCTGAGAAAACACTTAAATGGCATTTCTAGTCACCCTTTGTGCTTCTGGTAGAAGCAAAAGAAAGTTTGCCAATTGCAGGGGAAGTCTCTATTAGAAAGAACTAGGGTGATACCATCAAGGCATTTTTCACAGGCCACCAGTTATCCACTTTGCTCATGATCAACTGAGATTAAATTTAAACCAGTGACCCAAAACTGGAAAAGCTTCCATTAAATTACTCTTCCAAAGACTTGTAATAACAAAATGCATTAGAGGTACTTCTAGCTGCATCCTCGTCTTTTTCACACACAGCATTACCCACTGCTGACTCACTGGCTCAATTTAGAAAGACAGAATTTGTGGGGAGATATATTTTTGAAGATAACAGCAGACAGGATTTCAAAATAATCTGCTTTGACTGAGATCAAAGTGGTTTCTTTTTAGACAACAGTCCTTGTGTCTCCCTTTCCCCTTCACTATTTTTTGTTGTTGTTTTTTGTTTTTGTGTTGTTTTCATTCCATCTGAAAGTTGTTTCAGAGGCTGTAATTTTCCTCAGTGTAGTAAGACTGCTTTGCCTGACTGCTGTTTGAGAATGTTCAGTAGAAGAAAATGGTGTCCAGCTCTCCTTTTTCAAATGCCTTATGCTAATTAGTGTTAGAATTGGATGTTTTGTTTTGTTTTTTCTTCCAGAGTCAGTCAGCTTTTGCTCTAGGGTATGATTCTATATCATTCTGACCTGCCAGTGAAACCTGTTGGAACAGTGTTCTAGAGCCAGATTGTGCACTGGGATCAACAGAGCTAGTTGCACGCATCTGTCCCGAGCTCTATGTTCATTATGTCATACTGTTAGCTTTACATCAACCATGGTGGGTGCATTTATGTCACAGAAATTGGCAAATGCAACAAATTATTGTCCCCCATTCCAGAGCTAGTTGTTAAACTTTTACTAGCATGCCACTGGATATGTAACCAATTTCCTCAAAGATTTAAATAATTAAAATGACTTAGCTCCAACCAACAGCTCCCTCTATCTTTGTCCCTCTGAAATTTTGATCTACCTTCATCACTCAAAGATCAGCCAATGCTACAAAATGGGACTATATGTTTTACTCAGCTATGTCTGTTTTCTTTTGTCCTCACAAAAATATCATTGCCTTTTAAATTACACTTGTATATGACTCGCATTCCCATTAATGTTTGACCCAACCCTATCACCATTAGCATAACCCTCCTCTCTTATACATGACATCTTGTATCGTCATCATCATCCTCATCCCCATATAATAATAATAATATCTAACATGTAAGTGGCACTTAATAAGTCAGGCACTGTTAAAGCTCTTTACTTAATTTATCCATAAAGATAGCTAGGTTATACATGTACACATAGTCAAATTCAAAATTTCAATGACTTATAGCTGAAAGGTTTATTTCTTATTCACACTGTATGTCCACTGTGGGTCAGTTCCAGCTCTGTTCTTCATTTTGCTCCACTTCAGAATGATGGAGCAGTCTCTGTCTGAGGCAGTGTTATTCTTCTGACACAGTGAAAAGCGAGGCATAATAAACCATATACTGGCTCTCTATGCTTCTCCCAGAAGTAACACATGACCCTTCTTTCCTAGTTCACATTTTAGACAAAGAAAAACAGTGTTTGGTAGCCCAGGGTGTTTCTCAGTCCAAGAGTAAGAGAAGAAAAGCCAAGAGAAACTCTCCCAAATAAGGGAGATTGACACCCAGCTCTCTAATTGAATGGATGATTACACTTGAGTCAGTACAACTACAACAGGGGACTGAGCATTGGAAATATGTTGAGTGGCTGGGTAGCTCAGCACGCACCCTGAACAATAAGCTGCCCGGTTCGATTCCCTCATGGGCCACTTCGATCTTCGCCCTCTTAAAAAAAAAAATGAAAGGAGGTGGCATGGCAGACAAGGCAGTCAGCATGAGGGTGTGAATGCCCCCTTGAAGACTTTGTCCAATGTTTTAGGTAAGATGGATCCTGCCTGGGTCCATAGATCTCAGAGTTGGGGCTTCTAAGTGTAAATAAGTATTAAGGGGACTGCAGTATGTCAATAAGAGAGGCATGTACATCAGATATATATGAAGTAGGCATGTTTCTAGGCATTCGGTAGAAGATATATCAGAATTTCACAAGGTATCACCAATTCCTAGGATGGGTGCTTGGGACTGAGCCCTTTAACAGTAGAGTTTATTAGTGCCAGTCCTCTTGCATACTAACCCTGGCTTAACATTGATACAGGTGATTATTTTAAGAAATATAATTTTCGCTCTTCACTGTCTCTATTCTAGCATCACAAAGGACATGAAAGGAAGAAAGATGGATTTGAGTGAGAAGATCATACTCCCCTCACTCCAAGTCCTAGAAACAAAATTAGTTTTAAAATA